CTCCGGCGGGACTTTGTTCGGAGATGCCAGTTCCAAAAGAACTCTCCGGTGAAATCTTCGGTGTCTGGCCAGTGGTTTCTGGCTCTTCCTCTTCTTCATCAATCTCATGGGTGATTTCCTCTCCGCTATCGGCGAAGTCAGATTCATCAGCCTCCTCACTCGGCTCCTTTTCGGACTCATCCACGTCTGATTCTTCGGGCAGCGCACCAGCCTCCTCGTCAGATGCAGCAGGCGACTCAGGAACTGCTGGTTCTGGAGGCAATGGAGCCTCGTCTCCCGCGGGCTTTCCCGCTTTGCCTTTGATCTCGCTCGTGAAATCAGGTGGGAGCGGTGCTTCAAGTTTGACATCTTCGACCGAGCTCTTAGAGACGTTGGAAGATGCAGAGGTATCGCCTGGGCCATACGCGGCCCTGCTTGTTGAGTCAGGAGGGAGAGGCGGTTCGGCAATGGAGATGTTCTCCGCCTTGGGCGTTAAGCTAGCGACAGTTGTCTTTTCCGACTGCGGAGACAGGGGACTGGTGACCGGTTTCTCCGCAGCGACGTTTCCGAACAAGGAGAAGGCAGACTTATTTGTTTGTGTCGCTGGCTGAGGTTGCGTCTGGGCACCGAACAATGATGTCGTCTTTGAGGTATCGATTTTAGAAGGGGCACCAAACACTGGTGCTGGAGGCTCCATTGCTGCTGGTTTCTCGGGTTGGGCGACCGCAGGCTGATCTTCAATATCGTCCATCGATTCTGTTGGCGGACTGGTCTTATCAGGTGTGGACATCATATCGTCCAGAGACGTGCCTAAGGAAAATAACCCGGATGCCTTGTCAGGCTTTAGACCATCATCGACAGCAGTACCGTCACCCTTAAAAGTAGAACCAAGTACGAAGCCGCTTGAGCCACCAAAGCCACCCTTAGATTCGTCCGCCTTCTGAGTTGTGAAAGCTGTCTCAGCCTTAGCCTGGGTGCCGAAAATCGATGGGCCTGAAGGCTTCGAAAAAGGACTCTCGATTGACACCTTGCCAAAAGGTGATTCAGCGGCTGGTTTGCCAAAGGGTGATTCAGCGGCTGGTTTTCCAAAAGGAGATTCGCCGGTGGCTTTCGCAAAGGGAGATTCTGTTGCCGGTTTGGATGCTGTAAAGCTGGAGAATCCTCCTGCATTCGCAAAGGAGCCAAATCCTCCTCCTGAGGCAGCGCTGGGCGTACCGAAAGAGAGCGGTTTACCAGGTGTGGACGGTTGCCCAAAGCTTGGCGCAGCACTGGCTCCAAAGCCCGACTGGCCAAATTGGGGCGTTGCTCGCCCCAGAGTACTAGGGGCGCCGAATGAAGGTTTAATCTGGGACGGCGATCCAAATGATGGGCCACCGGGAGCCGATGGCGTTCCAAAGGCAGGTTGTCGGCTACCTAGAGCTGAGGGGCTGCCAAACGCTGGGGCAGTAGAAGGTTTGCCAAACGTCGATGACCCCATTGCCGAAGGACTGCCAAAGGCCGACTGTCCAAATGCAGGCTGTCCGAACGCAGGTCGCGTGGTAGGCTGCGCTGGTTCTGCTGCTTGCGGTTGTGGTTGCGGTTGCGGTTGTTGCGGGCTTACCGAGACCAGGCCATGGTAGGGCAGTTTCTGGCGAATAGACTCTGAATATATGATCCACCAAGAGCACAGTATGCCTTCATTGTTCAAAAGGAAGAGATTAGGCAGAGGTGTGGAACTTTCGGCAATGTCTTCACCTTGGACTGGGGAAACCACGGGCTCGGTGCTAGAGAGGTCAACTCCTAATCCGATTACTGAAGTATCAGTAGCGGCCTCAGTCAAAGGGAGTGAGGCTCTCTTTGTGTCGTCATTAACTTCTGTTGTTGTAAAGAGACCCACGGTGCCTTTGGCAGCGTCATCGCTAGCTAGTGGTTGATCGGACCGCGTGATAAGTCCTACATCAGTAGATGCTGTAGAGGATACGATCAGGATGTCTTTCAAGTGCGGCTTGTAGTCCCTCAGACGCGCGATAAACTGGTAGGCTGGGGCGCGTTTGACACCAAATGGCATGCACAGTTCCGGCATCTTCTGAACCAGGAAAGGTGCGCCTTTCTTTCTGGTGATGATATAGTACGAAGACGGAGGCGTCTGACCCATATCATCTTCGGTCGCATTTGGCGTATATACCATCAAGAATATGTCATTTTCAAGCCATGCAATGGACGACACTATTCGGGATTAGTAACGGAACTCACGATGTGTAAAATTGCCCAACGTACCATGACAATCGCCTTCCAGGTCAGGAGGGCGAGGTATTACGCCCTTTTGGGTCCCGTCAGGAGTTAGTTGAACTGCTGTTCCATCTGCAAGACCAGCCACAAGCTGTTTTCCTTTGTTACTCCAGCATACGGAGCTTACTCCGGCCCTGAGTACCTGACCGCTAGGTCCCCGGATCAAATTCGCTCCTTTCAAATCGGCAATCAAGAGCTCGCCATTTGCTGTGACTAGTGCGACCAGAGATGAAAGGATATCTTCTGACGGTGCAGGATTGGGTGCCATGGCGCGAAGCGTCGTGCCGTTCATCGGGATGGCCAAGGCAGGCTGCGGACTTCCCGTCAACAGAGTCGCAGTCTGGTAGACTGCAAGTTCCGCGCCATTTTCAGTCGCTAAGACTAAGGCATTATCGCCCGAGGCGAAAGCCACATGTGTCGGTCGCGCAGGAAGGGGTAAAATCGCTTGTGGTTCGAAGGGTTTAGTCTTGACTTTGCTTTCCCCGGTCGTTGCGCCGATGGCCTTTCGCACTGCGTCCGACGACGCGATGACAAGCGAGTTCGGAGCGGCACCGGCCACTATTCCTTTGGTCGGCGCGACAGCCAGAAGGGAGCTTGTTGGAGCTGGAAGGGCATCTTCAGGCCAGGGGGTGGGAAGGAACCGGACATTGCTATCACCGGAAACACCTTTGAAACCGACTTCCTGGTTCTTGTATCAGCAACCGACAACGACAAGGACCATACATAACGACGATGAGAAGGTGACGTACATCAGCAATAACATCCGGGAGCTCGGGTCCCAACTCAGCGGCAGGACCTCCAGCAGCGGGGTTGGAAGCCCCAAAATTGAAAGCCATTCTGAGGCTGCCGAGGTCAGACGAAATTGATCGAGGACGGTCGCCTAAAGATAGACTGAACTTTGGTGCATGGGGAGAAGCTGGGCTATGCGGCGGAGGTGGAAACGAGCGATGCTGGAGTGCTTGGGGACTCCGGTTGAAAAGCTTCCAAGTGCGCGCAAAAATCTTGGATATCTCCTCAGAGGAAGGGAGAGTATCAAGAGTGGAAGATTAGCGAGGCGGCCAGATTGAGTTAGCCGGACAACAGTTGTTCGGGTTTCGACAATAGAGCGATCTTTTGCGTTGTCCGACGAGCAAAAGTGAGGCCTCGAGCATAAATCATCATAATTTCCGGCGGAACAAAACAGTGGAAGCTCTGGGCGCGTTGCAGGCCTTATTGCCTCAGGCATAAGCGACTAGGCGGCGGGAGCTTCGTCACTGCAGCAGTTCCAGCTCCTCCGCCGCCCATCACCGACTACCTAGCTCCTCCAGCTTCCCGTATTACTTCCATTGATCCATTTATCTGTTCCGCAACGACTACTTTGATTCTGAAGACCACTTATCCTAACACAATTTTGCGTCGCTCGTCCCCTATCTCTCCCTCACCGCGCCCGTCAATATGGCAGGCTTCGACTTCTCCAACTACAATCGCAACGCGGCTCTGCACGCCAAAGGTGTGCCTCTCCCGAAAGCGACAAGTACTGGTACAACAATCGTGGGTTGTATCTTTGATAATGGCGTTGTGGTAAGTGATGATGGAATTCACCAAATAATCCCTAGTGATGATGGGCTGTCCGGAAGCTCACTCGATCTTACCCTTACAACAGATCGCCGCAGATACCAGAGCTACGAGTGGTCCTATAGTCGCAGACAAGGTACGTTACATATATATAAGCTTCTAGAAGACGTGTCAACGCTAATCATTCTGATCCTACATAGAACTGCGAGAAACTTCACTACATCGCCCCCAAAATCTGGTGTGCTGGAGCCGGTACAGCTGCAGACACCGAATTCACAACCGCCCTGATCAGCTCCAACGTCGAACTGCACTCTCTGTCGACGGGCCGGCCCCCACGAGTAATTACCTGCATGACCATGTTGAAGCAGCACCTCTTTCGATACCAGGGACACATCGGCGCCTATCTGGTCGTCGCGGGCGTTGACCCTACAGGCGTCGGTCTTTTCACCGTCCACGCCCACGGTTCAACCGACAAGCTCCCCTACGTCACCATGGGCTCTGGCTCGCTGGCCGCCATGTCGGTTTTCGAGTCGATGTGGAAACCGCAGCTGAACCGCGAAGAGGCTATCGCTCTGGCTTCGGAAGCTATCAAAGCCGGTATCTTCAACGACTTGGGCTCCGGTAGCAACGTTGACGTGTGCGTCATCCAGAAGGATAAGCCCACGGAGCTACTGCGCAACTACATGAAGCCCAACGAGCGTGGTGAGAAAGAGCGCAACTACCGCTTCCCTAGGGGTACAACGGCCTACCTGAACGAGAAGATTATCAGCAAAGAGGACATGAGGAAATATGTGACTGTGGAGGATGTCTCTGGGGATCCAAATCTCATGGAGGTAGATTCGTGATTAAGCCGACGGTAGCAAGAGCTTAGACATGATCTATCTTTATTGTCTGTTGTTTCTTGTGACGCATTAAGAATCTAATTGAAGGATCAATTGCATGTCTTAATATCATCCTTCTGAGGAAGACTAAATTTAGCAATATCCTCATGAGAGATAGTAAAAGTCCCCACCGCATAGTTAATTGCAGAGGAATAACTCTTCGGAAATTTTGCTTTGAACATCCATACTAATTATACAGCGTGATCATGCCACCGCAATTTGACATAACGTCTCTATAATACTGAGACAAGGTAACTATATACAGAAAAAGCTATTGCCTGTTTCCCACGAAATTACTGCACATCAAGTCATCTGTCCTCAGACCGAGTTTGATCGCTTCCCGCTTTCCCCCACGCGCGGCGGCTCCATGAGGGCTTGCACCATTTCCGGTGTCTCAATTTCTTTCACGCGGTCAAGGATGTAGGCATATTGAGTCGGCGCAACGTTCAGTCCTGCTCTTCGAAAACGCAACACACCAGCATGATACATGGCGCGAACAAGTGACGGTTTCACGCGCGCGTTGTGCTTCATCAGGAAATCGTAGAGCCAGTGGACCAGCGCATAGGCACGGCGCGGACTGATGTTCCTCGAACATGCGAGAGAAACAGCAAACAGGTGGATCATCTCTACGGCCAGATGAGGGTCTGGACAGAGCGCGGTTCTTGGCTCTGGGTTGTAGCGCACCAGAGCTTTTTCCGAGGGGTCCGGGACACGCGGCCAAAGGCTCGATATCGCAATCTTGAGGGGAGTGTGGCAACGAAACAAACGAATAAGTGTCCAGATTCTTTGAATGTTCCCGTCTCTCGCGATCTCAATCGCATGTTTCACGAACGAAGGGTCGGTGACATCGATCTGCCGTGCCATCTTCTCATACACGGAGAAGAAATGAGTATTTGACGCGTTGTAAGCATGAATGTCTGAGAACATATCTGCGAAAGACACTTTCGTCGTCTCGAGTTTCTCCAACGTCCGTCTTTGAGCTCGTGTCGTGCGCTTTGCTGCCTTCAATTCCACGACCGACATCAGCAGGCCGTTAGATGGTATGCCAAGTGTGTGGATATCCTTCATCAAGCTGCTTAAGAGGTCCTCGTAGCCGCCCTTGTCGAGAGTAGATTCGTAAATTGTGCAGAGATGGGTTATTGGCGAGTCAGTCACCCTCTGGCCTCTTCTCCAAAGCGGACCCTGAGGGAGATATTTGCTAAGAGCCCGCAACAACCAAATGCGCAAGACGATTTGGTGTCTGAATGATAGTGTCGAGTTCTTCTCTTGTTTAGATCCCAATGACTCGGCAGTATGTTGCGTGCGCACGTCGGCCCATATCTGTGAAGAGACAACCCTTGTTATGTTGTCAAGCTCGGACAAGCGGCGCTGCCACTCAAGCAAGCAGCCCATCTTCGTAGACACTAGATACTCTGTTGTGCGAATAATAATTTCAGATGTGGCAGTGGGATGGAAACAACCCAAGAGTTCCTTGATATAATGCTGATTGCTGCTATGCCGTGATTCCGCCGAAACTTGTAGCCAGCGTGCAATCAGAATAGGCACCCATCGACAATCAGCTGAACTAGGATCTTGGGTCGCCCGAACCATGTCCTTCGCCAGTATGAAGTCGTCATAAGTTTTCCTCTCGCAAAGGATACTTTGCCATGCATCGACTATATCCTTGCTAAGATCCTTGTGTCGATAAATATCACAACGTCCGATGGCGTCCCACATCTCCCGATGGAACCTGACCAGGAACCTGGAGTTCCGCGCAGTCAATCCATGTGATCCCTTGAATTTAGCATTCGATATAGTCTTTATAATGCCTTGAAGCTCAGTGGGATGTAAGAGCCCTAGCTCCAAAGATCGAATGATGGCGTCGAACACCCGCTGTTTCCCGAAAATCGCCGGTGTAGATAATGTATGCTCAAGAGCGCACAGATAATTTCCAGCCCCTTTAGTATTAAGATATGGATCGTCGAGAAATTCGACAACCTTTTGCATGGCACCCTCGTTGTTGGCTGATCGCGACAGCAGGTGTTTAAGTATCAGGCGGCTGTAGGAAGGCTCCMGCCGGAGGTCGAAATTGAGTTGGCGCACGAAGATCCCGATAGCTGTGACCGATGGACGCGATTCCAGAAATTCTTCCAGTGCCTGCTCACGGGAGGTTTTGTGTGACGCATCCGGGAATCCCCGGACACCATTCAATGTGTCGAACTCCATCGGGGCGATGTTTTCGCTGTAGAACGGCAAAGGAGGCTCCGGAGGGTTCAATGGAAAGGCAGGCAAATCTTCGGTGCAGTTAGAAACACGATCTGTCTGCCCAGGGCTTTTGCTCAGTAGATTCTTACCATGGGCCTCGGGGTGAACATTTCGTTCCTCCCGGTCCGTCCATTTCATGTGCTCCCGCCCATTTCGTCCAAACAAACACGCAATGTCTTCCAGAGATCCTAAGCCGGTTATACCGGCCAATGCAGTATTTCGTCGCTTGGCCAGACGTCTTCTTGCTTCCAAAGGCCCTGGCACTCGACTTTCGTAGCGTCGTTGACTGGTTGCGAATCGTCGGAAGGTTGATGCGAGCAGTTCTTCGCTAATCCACACGTGGTCAATGCGATGTGTGGAAGAGGGGTGTAGTGCATGCCGATAGGCATGTCTACCGAAAGACATGAGGCAACGGGGGCATTCGAGTGCAACTGAGCTGTGCCGACCTCGCAGAGACGTTCTCATGAAATGAAGCTTGCGGAGAGTTTGATGTTCGAGTTCCGAGAGTATGACTAAGCGGCGGCCCGAACCACAGTCGCTTGAGCTTCAGGTCTGGGCTAAACGTAACTGACTGCATCCTATTGATATAAGCTGGCACTAAAAGACGATGACAAGATGGCCATTTCACTCCCGTTAAGCCAGTCGCTGGATTCAAATTATATTGTCAAAGCTCCCAAGAGAAGTAAAGCAGTTGGAACTGACGACGATACTACCTAGCATTACTCACTCCAGGCAGACTACAATATTGTTCAATGTGATTCCATTCCAGGACATGTAAGGATGATATAACCAAAATATGAGATCAAGAAGCAGAACCCCTGCACGCCTTCCTGTAATGCATGGAATATTGTGAAGCCGGTGGTATCTTATGCAATGCAGCCAAAAAGTGCTCCCTCGAGAGACGCCCCAAAAGATAGGAGCGGGAAGGAAAAAGGACAGCGGAAGTGATGACAAGGCTTTCAGGAGGCTTGTTCCCCAGGGCGCGGCTTCCTCCCCGTTACGACATAGAAGTCCATGTAACTATGGACGTCACGATTCTGAATGCTTTTTCGCACATCAACCAGAAAAACTTCGATCTCCGGCTTTGACCACCCCAGTGCAAGAAGAGGTTTGTAGGACCATCCGGACAGAGCCTCTAACCAATTTGTCTCATTCCAAGTGCCGATTGTACGCAGGTGCGGATCCTCAGGCCATGGGTTGGTCGGAACTTTGGAGATGCGTTCCTGAACGTCGACGAAGCCGACTTCTTTCATCCAGCGCGCAATACGATGAGCGATGCGAAATTGTCTTGGAGGATCTGTAATTTGGCTTGAGCGCACATTGAGATCGACCCAATCATGCAAAGCATATTCACAAAAGCCATCAGGATTCTCGGGAGGCATGGTACCATCGTCACATTTGAGCTTAGGGTCGAACTCGTGGCACTCCATATAACCGCCAGGTTTGAGATGCTTAAATGCCTTGCGCAAGACATCCTTGAACGATGGGAACGAACCAATCATATGGGCCGTGTGAATCAAGTCGAAGTGGTCTGCGTCCCATAACCAGTCTTCTTCGGTGGCATCGTCAACGAGAAAGTGAACGTTATTGGGCACCTCAGTCGGTTGAACAGGTGACAGGTCAGTACCGGTGATTTCGGCCTCAGGGAAGATGGATGCTACAGGAGCAATGGAAAAGTAAGAAACTGCCTGGAGTAAGCGACAGTGTGACAGGAGGAAGACGCACCCATTTCTATGGGCCATATGCCAGATCCAGTACCGATATCGAGGATTCGTTCAGGGCTATGTATGGGAGCAAAGAACAGTCGTCCGTCGTTGACCAGTTTGACCATATGGTGCTGCATGTCTAATCGATCCAATTCCTGCTCATCGTTCGGGTAAATGTATGCTGGATTTACATCAGACAACGCAGTGAAATGAGACTGGGACTAGAAAGCATACAGCCCTCATGGTATTTGTGGTATCGTCTTCCATTCTCCGTGGGATAGTCAGTTACACTCGCCGTCAACGACTGCGTGTCACTACAGCAGAATTCAGTGTTAGCGTACCACAAGCGATTTAATCGTCTTTCTATACTCCTTTCCATCCGGATCGATGCCAGCTGCAGTTTCCTCAAAGACGGTAAGAAACAAGCAAGCTACTTACTACTGACGGTTCGACTCCTGGGACATTGTTTGTTAGTATCCCATGGACTATGTTGGCTTTGCTGAAAGAGAACACGCTGCAGAGGACAGCCGAGTAGTAGGGCAAGCGAAGGCCAAGACATGGGTAGAAATAACAGATGCCGCGAGGACGCAAAAGGAAAATGCTTACAAGGGAATCCTCGCCCACGGTTCTAATGGGTCTAAACATTATTCTGGGAATCTCGGGACCGATTTCTCGTGTGGGGGGGGAGGGGTTAAGGAAAAATATGTAAAGTTGTAAACTGTGAAGCAGACAATTTGATAACCGTCTTGATCCTTTTCTGTTTTCTTCCGTCGTTCCTCCGGTCGGTCTATCTTCGTTTTTCTTTATGACAATGTCGCCGTCGATACGGGGCAGCTGCAGTTATCGTCGAATCGGTGTCGACGATGAGCAGATATGTTCCAGTGGGGTGATATCCAACAACCGAAGTAGGAGCCAATGTGTCAGTTGAGACTGGATATGCTCCTTTTTCCCATCTGATCTGAGGATCAATATTATTTTAACGTCGAGCTTGCTAAGGCGCCATCAAGCGTGCTGTTGTGCAAGCGGGCCAGTTCAGAGTTCAGCCAGTGGATAACAAGCTAGACGGGGGACGAAGTGGGAACTGGGAAAAGGGAAGAGATTCAGAAAATAAGTAGTAATACGGAGTAGTTATCGAATGGATAGAGAAAAGGCGATGACGGTTGCAAATTAGCACCAGCTGGAAATAGCTGGTCCTAATGCTACCTCAGTTTCCCTCGGCCCTGATTCCCCGATTCTCTGAAGGCCTGAACCCGACAGACTGGGTTAGGTTTGTAATTAGGTAGGTAGTACTGGAAAAAGGATGGGGATGGAGGAGAGTGGACTGGTAACAAACTACCTACCTTATGAATAAAGGCTACTTCGCAGCCACGGGCTTCGACTTCGAGCCTTCGTCACTTGTGTGTAAGATTTCATGAACATAATTTGCTGTACAAAGAGCATAGAGAAATTGATTTTCTCGCCACTGAAGTGACTGTGCATCCCGCAAATCCGATAATTAATTTTGCTGCACATAAACGTCTAGTTTAGACTATTACGAGCTGTAACAAGATTACCGACAAGTGAAACTAAGGTATCTCCTGAGGCCTGCGGAGGATTAAATGTAGTTAAAAGTATGAATCCGCCAGTTCCTTCACAGTCATTGTTGTGATAATTAATGATAGTCAATAATATATCAGTCACGAATTCAGATGGCGCCAGTGGTTTGTTTTCTACAGCAAGCAGTCCTCGAGAATTAATCACTATCTCAGGTGGGGATAAGAGACAACTCTTCCCAGGAAACTGTTATTAGACATGGAGTATTTTCAATGGTTTTAGAGTATTTCGGCCGTCGACTTCATGGGAAATGATCTGTATTGCATTGATAATCGAACAATTTAGTCTTTAGTTGCAGATTCATCAGTAATGCTTTGTTGACTTCTAATATTGAAAGGGCGAGGCTGCAAAGAGTGGAATCAGAGTAATCTGAACCTGTATACTACAAGAATTGGCCAGTAGTCTATACGAAGAGAATCTGTCAGCATTCCGAAATGGATACTACTACCAATAGTTGTCAGAGCCATAGTCCTGGTTCCTTTGCACTGGAAATTGGAAATCCGGGACTGGGCCATGCCAAAAAGCACGGACGTCCCAGGAGTTTGGGATTCGGGAAGACAATCGATAGGATAACCAAACAAGAAGAAAGAGGATCATAGGGCACATACGTACCTTAGTAGTAGGTAAGACTTAAGTTCATTACCAGATCACCGCAATCTATCAATGTTATTGATGCAAAAATATTAGTAGGCACCATTCCGGCCGTAAAGAGCAATATCATTTCAGCAAGTTGAGAATTACTCAAGAGCTGCCAAGGATGTCCTATCAACCGCATCATTGATAATCGAAATCAAGAGGGCCGATACGCCCCAAAAACATCCCTCACAAATTCCCAACGGCGTGAGAAAGGGGCCATTAGGTCCAGCAGGTGGTGGGGATGTCGCTCCTAGTAATTGCCATTCCACGTAAGCACTGGACACTGAAAAACCCTTTGCGTGGGTTGTTAATAATACTTGAGTAGAGACTTAAACCACTATTTATTATTATTAGTTTTTAGTGAAGCAAGTACCTCTCTAGTGAAGTAAATCAAATACCACTAATTAATCCAGCTCTACCCCTAGCGAATTCCCGCTGTTACAAAGTAACTAAGAATAATATTAATACCAAGATCAGCAAAGCTAAGGTAAGTAGGTAAGACAGCAAGTTAGTTGCAATTTGAAGCACAAACGGAAGATGATCATCAACTAAGACTGTGATCCAATGGCTGCTGGTGCCATTGCGCTGGAATTTCACATCCATGGGTCATTCTCCTATTATCCGAGTGGGCTGAACTCTCCACTGCATCCCTTTCTGCATGCTGTCTTGTTTCTATGTAATCCGCGCTGCGTCAGCGTTAGCAGGTTTACACTCAAGTAGCTGCATCACATTTAATCTGATTACCTTCTAGAGCACAGTGCAGATTACTTTTTACCATACCGTTCGATTATTGCAGGATACCACAGAACACCTGACACCGAGTGTTTTACTGTTTTGTCCATGAACGGAGTTTACCGCTGATCTATCCAGTCTGTCGGAACCCTTGACCCACTCCAACTGTCCAGCATCGGCGGGACATGAATTAACCTACTCCGTATTGTAAACATCGCCCGTCCCACCCTTCCATCTTGATTCGACGCCGACAGGCTGCTCTGCTTGCCGCTCTGGGCGAACTACATGATTCCAAATTCTCGTTAGCCAACTGAACAGAACTCTGGGACTGTTCGTTTTCGGTGGTAGCGAAGGCCAATTGGTGGAACCGAATACCTTGTCGATTAGTATTTGTTAAGTACGGACTGCGGTGTAGGTCAAGCTATTTATTATTCATTATGCATACTCCGTATTCTAGCATTATGAGGAGATGCGGAAGAGAAAGACGTTTTCTGTAGTATTCGCATGTCCTTTTTATTATGAGAAAACCTACATCAGAGGGGAAAGGCAACCATGCTCGTCATAATACGTTGGTTCAGAACTCAGGATCCAAAAAGGGGACCCAAAAGTACTCCGCACGCACATCTGATCGCCTCTCGCCCCGCGGGTAAGTGCACTTCTACCTGTGTCTTCTCCGTTCTCTGTCCAAAATTTTAGATCGACACCAACGGGGAGGAGTATTAGCCTAAGAACGGATAT